AGAGGCCCAGGCATCGCGCTGTTCCACCAAAAGCAGCTGGACAAGCACGACGGCTCGACATCCTCGACGGGCATCGCGCGGGCTATCGCTGGCGGGCGACTGCTCAGGATCGCACCTCAGCATCAGAAGGTGGCGTCAGAAGCGGACCGACGGTTGTTCGAGATGGTGGATGGCCCGGTGCGCAACCTCGCCGGCAGCCCACGACGCGTCTACCCGAAGGAGGCAAGCTGATCCAGCACCAGAAGAAGAAAATCAAGAAGGTGTCATTGACCCGTGGCATCCTGGCTCACGGGCGCTGCTGGACCTCTTTCCTAACCTACAGCAGGAGACTCAACCAGCCTCGTCGGGAACGGCACCTGCGACCGGACCCACCAAGGAGATTGTGGTGATCAAGAAGGTTCCTGTCCAGGGGGCCATGGCCAAGCCCGAGCGCCGCGTTCGCGGCATACCAAACCCAGACGACATCCGACAGGAGGAGGTGCCCTCGATTACGGACGAGTTGCCATCACCAGAAGGACCCCCTCCAGACTCTGGGGCCAGAATCTCAGGCGCGGGAGGCACCTCAAGACGAAAGTGCGAGTCAGGCCCCTGGGCGACTTGCACCTCCACGCGAAGCAGCACTAGGAGAAGAGGGCGATGACAATAGCGACGGCTTTCCAGGGGATTCGAAACAAGAAAAATCTTCACCAGCACAGCCTGCGAAGTCCTTGCGCAGGCCATCGGCAACACGTCACCTGCGGCAAGAGCCAACAAAAATGATGGGCCCCTCTTGCCGGCGGAGAAGAGGCCTGGGCTGGACATGTCTGCGGTGGGCTACGCGGCGCAGTTCGCAGTGGAGGGCGACGCCGTCCCCGAGGCGCTGCTGCAGGAGCTGCTGCAGATAGAGGCGGCGCACGCGCTCGACAACGTTTCAGGATATGGTTGGCGAGGATTTGAATTTTTCTTGGGCCGACAAAATATTCGTCGCTGCAGCGGCCGGCGTCGCTTCGAAAGCGCTGCGGGATCACACTTCTGGACGGTTTTAGCGAGGATTCTCAGAGAAGGAACAACAGTGGCGCCGATGTCCGAGCGATTGGCTTCAGGAGGCAAGGAGGGGGAGGAGGAGAAGGGGGAGGAGGAGAAGAATGAGGACAAAGGAGGACAGGATGAGGACGAAGAGGAGGATGAGGTAGAAGGGCAGTATCCTTCCTCCTTTCTCTCTATCCTCCTTCCTCCCTATCGCGCCCTTCTTAAGTTTCGCTTCCCCAACCGTCCTGGCTTTCCCCCTGTACATCCCTTTTCATTCCCCTCCTGCATCTGCTCCGTTTCCTCGCCCTCCTCGTCGTGCCCACCTTCGCTCCCTCCCCCTTGTCCCCCTTTGTCCTGTCCTCGCCTGTCTCCTCGTCGCCCCCCCGCATTCCAAATTTCATTTGCCCATAATTCTCACATCGGAAACACCCCTCAAGCAATTCGTCGGCCCGTGCGAATCTGACAACCGTCTGACGACCATACTATGATCATATATGGGAAGCACTACCGATCTGACAATGGTCTGACGTCAGACCATTGTCAGACAGAAAACTGAGTCTGACAATGGTCTGACGTCAGACCATTGTCAGATCGCTGATGGGGAGCATCGGTAACATGTCGGTAACGCGTCGGTAACGAGTCGGCATGCTCTCGGCGACGGATCGGTCGCGGCCGATCGGCGCGGGGCAAATAACAAGCGGTAGCGCCGAAGCGGTCGCGACCGGTCGCGACCGCCACTACCGACCAAATCACCGCTACCGGTCGCGCCCGTTCGTACCTGGGTAATCCCGGGAATCAATGATCAGGGTCTCACGCATTTTTTTCTTCTTTCTTCTGCGTGGCTTTCTTTCCCCGATGGCGCGTGGCCGCGCCAGGGCGCGCCCGGGAGCGCCGCGCGGTAGCGCCGACCTCTGGCTCGCCCGCGGTGTCTTTTGCTCATTTGCGATTGCGCGCGGCCGCGCCAGGCCGCGCCCAAAGGCGCTAGGCGGCAGCGCCGACCTCGCGCTCGTCCGCGTTGGTTTTTGCAGATTTGCGATCGCGCTGGGCCGCGCCAGGGCGCGCCCGAGGGCGTCGGGCGACAGCGCCGACCTCTGGCGTCAGAGGGGGCCAGAGGTCGGCGCCGCCGCAGCCGCGCGCAATCGCAAATAACGCAAATCAGCGCCGGCGGGCCAGAGGTCGGCGCCGCCGCCTGGCGCCCTCGGGCGCGCGCAGGCACGGCCGCTCGCAATCGCGAATAAGCAGGGGCCCGCGCGGGCGAGCCAGAGGTCGGCGCCGCCGCCTGGCGCCCCCGGGCGCGCCCTGGCGCGGCCGCGCGCAGTCGCAAATGAATAAGAAACAACGCGGGCGAGCCACGCGCCGGCGCCACGGACCGGCGCCCTCGGGCGCGCCCTGGCGCGGCCGCGCGCAAAGAATCCAATGACCAGCGCGGGATAGACAGAAGCGCGGCCGCCCGGCGCCCCCGGGCGCGCCCCGGCGCGGCCGCGCGCTGTCGCAAATGCGCTCCCAGAAACCAGCGCGGGCGAGCCAGCAGTCGTCGCCGCCGCCTAGCGCGGCCGCGCGCAATCGCAAACAAGCGCAAAACAACGCGGGCGAGCCAGGCGTCGGCGCCGCTGCCCAGCGCCCGCGGGCGCGCCTTGGTGCGGCCGCGCGCAATCGCAAATGAGGGGGAACCAGCGCGGGCGCGCCGGAAGTCGGCGCTGCCGCCTGGCGCCGTCGGGCGCGCCCTGGCGCGGCCGTGCGCAATCGCAAAACAGCGAAAACCGACGCGGGCGAGCACGATGTTGGCGCTGCCGCCTGGCGCCCTCGGGCGCGCCCTGGCGCGGCCGCGCGCAATCGCAAATATGCAAAAACCAACGCGGGCGCGCCAGAAGTCGGCGCTGCCGCCCGGCGCCCTCGGCAATCGCAAATGAACAAAAACCGACGCGGGCGAGCCAGACGTCGGCGCCGCCGCCCGGCGCCCCGGGCCGCCGCCGCCTTGGGACGAGCGAAAATAAGCAAAAACAGCCAAGACCATCCCGGGAATGGGGCCAGCCGAAGGCCAAGCGACCAGAGGGCGGCGGGAGAGCCTGGAGCGACCAGCGCAGCCGAAACTAAGCAAAAACAGTCCAAACCAGCCAGGGAATGGGGCCAGCCGAGGGCCGAGCGACCGAAGGGCGGCCGACGAGCCCGGGGCAACCGACGGACAGGCAAAAACAAACCAAAACAACCAAAGCTGGCCAGACAAGCAAAAACAACCGACGGGCAAACGAAAACCACCAGGAACAATCAACGTCACCCAAGGAAATAACAACCAAACTCGAGAAGTAGAGTAGGTTTGCGCCCGCCCCCCCCTTCCAATCAACGCCAAACATTAAACATTCTTGAAATAGAAAGGCGCGTAAAATAAATTGGGATATGGCAGTCGGGAGATACCTCCTTTCAACGACCAGCGCCTATCATCCACATCATTACCACCACCACCACTATCATCATCAACATCACCATCATCATCAGCATCTTCATCATCATCATCATCATCACCATCGCAATCGTCATCATCAGCGTCATCGCCGGTGTTGTTGCCACCATCATCACTCGCTCGAGCGGGTCTTTGATCTGCATGGGCAAAGTCCACGCGTCACTGCGCAGCGTGAGATTCGTGAGCAAGGTCAAATGGGTAGCTGCACTCACGGCCTCGATGAGTTCTTCCCAAAAGTGGCGGACGGGCAGGTGGGATGCTTGCTTTAGCGTGGCAGGTGGTCGCGCGCGGATGCTCGTAGATAGTTGTACCATGTATGAGCGCACCACATGGATTTCACCAACCAGAGCTCAAGAACGCACGGTTTGGGGCCAACGTTGGCTAACATCTGGGCGTTGCTGAAAGGGGGCGGTGGAAGAATTAACACCTTTCGTGCGCCGTCGGGGCCCCAAGGGCCGCCTTCAGGGCCCCTGTGCTGCAACCCTCGATCCCCCCAAGTACTGTCAACTTCTGTATTGCCGCAAACTGATCTTTGGCACGGGTGCCGCCTCAAAATACCCTGGATGCGAAATTCTGGTCTTGGTGATGCATTGCAGTATGTATGTATGCATGCATGCATGTGTATGAATATGTATGTGTGTCAACAGATATTTACTGACATACACATCTCTAAGTGTATATATATATGTATATATATTATATATAAATGTATAGATTGGCGACGGCACCTTTGGTCAACCACTGAGTGCCCTCGGTGCGCTACCGAGATCTGGTAAGGGGCAGGGGGCTGTTATCATAATCGCTCGCCAGCGAAAGCCCATGCTTCGCACTGTTTGATTTGACAATGGCGTCGCAAACAACTGCCAAGCGGAATAAACTAAACGAAATCTCAAAGAGTAGGCGTAACCGCCTCCAGGACGCCTCAGATCCGCTCCGAGGCGGCTCCAAGTGATCACGGATCTTCCCAAGAAGTCCCCCAAAAGGCCCCCCAAAGGAGCCCAAGAGGCTCCCAAGAGAGCCCCAACAAGGGCTCCAGAGCGTCAGCGTCGTCGTTGTCATCGTCGCCGTCGTCGCCGTCGTCATCGTCGTGGTCGTTGTCGTCGTCGTCGTCTTCGTCGTCGTCGTCCCCCTTCAGGGTCGGCGGCACCGGCCGCAAGGCCTTCCCAATAGAAGGAAGTAGGAGCAACCACCCTCCATTACGAAACGCCCGAAACATGCACGAAAAGGTAGCCGGACGGGCACCGCCCCGACCCCCACCCGCTCCCCGACCCGCGCCCCGACGTGGCGACGAGAGGAGGGCCCCAACGCGCCGAGAAAAAGCGAGGAACGAGAACGGGGACGCACACGACGAAACCATGACCCGGACTGGACTGGAGTAAATCGGAGATCTCCGGGATCTAACGGTTCTGGAAAATGTATCGGCCGCCGCGGCTTTCCCATGACTGCGGAACGCTCTGAGAGCACGTTCCGGAACACATGCTGGAGCGAGTCATCCTGTTCCTGGGCCAGCCCGAGAACAACAGCCGGTGGGCGCCTTCTCCGGCAGGAAGTGGCAGGGGTGGTTGAGCGCCTCGCACGGCGGCTCCCCCCAGGCAGCCCTCCCGCTCCGCTTCTTCCCCGAGGAATTCAGGCGCCCTCCCACCGCTCCGTCCTGGAGGGAAGGGCGGACGGGAGGAGGACAGATAGCTAGCCAGCCAGCTAGATGCCTACATGCAAATCGAGAGAGAAAGAGAAAGAGAGAGGACAGAAGGAGAGAGGGAGGCAGAGATGGGGGGCAGGGAGGGGGGGGAGGAGGGAAGAGGAGGCGAGATATTCCGCCCGGCCGCGGCCTAGCACTCGCCCACCTCTGGGGCGAGTGGCCACCAGGGCCAGGCGCGCGAGAGCAAGTCTTCAGCAGGCCGAGAGCGCAAGACGGCGGCTGCACAAACTGCACATGCTGCTCGTCCGCCGTTCCCCTTCCCATCCTCTTCACTCTGCCGCCGCTCCTCCTGCCCCTCCTCCGGTTCCCTTTCTCCCATTTCGGCCCTAGATAATTGACGCGGGGGCGATCCAGCCCAAAGGCAGTGAACGGAAGCTGCTGACCCGTGGCAAGCATTTCAAGTCTTGCAGGCGCCTGATCACCACAGGTTGCCTTCTGCTTTTCTGGTGGCCCTCGCCCTATGGGCAGTCACACCCATGGGGAAAAGAGGCCGCCAGCTGGGTTCGGCGACGTGGCCTCTCTGGCGCGCGTCGGCACCTTGGAACCAGCAGCATTCGAAGCAACAACACTACAATAATGACTGAAAATGGCCTGCGGCGGGCACGGGCAGTCGTGAGGTTCCGACGTAGCCAGCAGTACGTCCCCCACCTCTGCGTGTGCAGCCACAACCGGTCTAACCGAAGCCTGGTCGTCCAGCCACGTGGTGTAAGGCTTGCGGGAAGTGTGGCTACACGGGCCTGTTGGAATATTGTGATTGGACATGCCAGGTCTTCGACCTAGTTATGCCGGTCCAAATTCTCAATGGAACTGGAATGGCTCATAATGGTACAGCAACTACGGCAAGGGAGATGGATTGGAATTCCTGGCAGAGTTCGCGGTCAAAGGTTGTCCTGGTGCAGAGCATGCGGTGGCACTGGCAACCACCCTTGTTCCGCCCCCACCGACACCGGCCTCCAAGCCAGCTTTGTTTCAACTCGCGCAGGCTACCAAGAAGGTCGAGCAGGCAGAATAGGCTTGGGATTTTGCCTCAGGCACTGTGGCTCGGCTGAAATTGGAGTTGGACGCAGCAGTGGAGAAGTATCGCGCAGGGTCTGACGAACTGGCTGAAGCAATGGTTCAATAAGAGTCTGCTGATAAGGAAATGGCGCCAGGCAGCGGAGGACTCCACCAGTTCCGCGCGGCCTTAGCGTCACAGCTCAGCGACATGGTCAGCACGCTGGCTGGACACCAGCGGGCCAAGATGGAGGCTCTGGACGAATGGCAGAAGCAGAAGAAACAGAAGAAGGAGGCGGACGAGACTGAGGGTGATAGCACGGGGGCTCCTGCGGCTGCTGCGGGGTCATCTGGAGCAGGAGCAGGTGCGGGTTCGTCTGGCTCAGGAGTCGGCTCGGCTGGGGCCGCAGCTACCGCGGCAGGTAAGTCAGCAGAGGGGGCGACTGAGAAGTGCAAGAGCGAGCTCAAGGCAATCTACGAAAGGATCCAGGAGGCCAAGAGGGAACCGCAGAGCCTTTAGGGCAACTCGGGTGATGTGCGGTGGCGCTCTCAATGGAAGATTTGGAGGGATGTTGTCAATGGTATGTCTTCGCTTCGGTAGAGAGCAATGAACAGGCCGATCTGGCTTTGCCACCAAGCTCCTTACATCCTGCCACTGATTGAAATAGGGAATATACGGAGCTTGCGAACGAGATGACAGCGGAAGCGGTGAATGGGATCCAAAAACTGTAGGGCGAGAGGTTTAACAATCCTGACCATTGGATGAATTCGGTGTGCCGTACTTCGAGATCGCGATGGCCTTGGAGGCGAACGCGGGTATGAGTAGGGAGCGCGGGAGGAGGTATACAGATTTGTCGGTGAAAAAGAGTACTTAAATTTGGTGTCGACGTGCTTGGGATATGACCCTACCCAACATAGTATCATTTTCGACATCCAGAGCAACGCTAGGGATCGGGATACGATAGATGATCTCATCAGGTTCCAAAGGAGCTGGAAGCCCTGAAGGCAAACTTTCGGGAAAGCCATGTGTTGGACCTGATGAGATTGATCGGCCCGAGGAAGACAGTGGTGCAAGTGTAAAGACAGGCGGGCGGTGTGTATGATCAGGCTGGTCTGGCAGCGTCTCGGAGCCTTCCAAGGCCCAAGGCAATGTAGAAACAGCCTGGCTGTGCACATGGTCGGGCAGTTCTGGTGCTGCCGCTGTTACCTCCAGAGGCCCAGTGGTATGTTCAGATTTGTATGGTGATTTGAGCTTTGCGGGTCAAATTCTGGTGCGCGGTGCGCTACGTGTTGTAAGAAGGTCGGGTGATCCCTCGTGCAAGCGGATTTCCGTTTGAGTCGCCTTCCCTGCACCTTCTGGGGCTATTCCTGCATATGACCCCGTTGTCTGACCCCCAGACAAACCCAAATGTTTATGCGCCATTGTGAGGGCACGGGGCCGGGGGCTGCCCTCACGGACTCACAGGGTCAAGCTGGAGGCCTCTCGATGTGCGGGGTGCCGCTCCCACGGACCCACATGCGCTGGGCGAAGGTTTCTCTATGTGCCACCTGGCGGGCATGGAGCCTCGGGCCTTCCCTGCGAAACCACTTGCACACGACAGAGGTTTCTCTATGTGCCAGTTGGTTGGTGTGGTGTCGGGGGCTGGCCGGCTGACCCCGCGGGCCCTCAAGGCGACGGAGGTTTCCCTATGTGCCTTGGCAACGGCAGGGAGTCGAGGTGATCCTGCGGACCTTTCGGCGCATGTGCTTGAAAAGTGCTTTGTTCCGTGCCGTCTGGGAAGCACGGGGGTCGGGGGCTGCCCCTGCGGACCCAACGGTTCAGGAGAAGGGCGACAAAAAATAGAGGGAAACAAAAGTTTCAACATTTACAATCGGAATATGTCGCAACGGGGGCCATCTGCCAACACATTGCTGGACACGGAAATGATGTTGTGATCATTCCGGAGGCCCACATCATGTTTGAAGACAGCAATGAGGTCCTGGTGGAGTTGACAGAATGGGTTGGGTTGGGAAAACATGATTTGTCCAGCAGACACGGAGGCATCTCAGTCTTAGAATAAAGCAGGAGGTGTTGCGATGGGCATAGCCAGGGAATGGACGGCTTGGTGAATGAGGCATCTGGCGTGCGAAGAAAGCGGATCCAAAGCCAAGCCAGGTGAATGGCGAGGTTGGCGTTCGCTTCATGGGCCTGGCGGACATGCATGCATCGCTCAACGGCAAGCACCTCGCGATCATCGGAGGATACTTGCACACTGGATCTGGAGACACCGGTGTGAACGTGGAGAAGCCTAGGCGGATGGCCTGTTCGGTTTCGGCGGTCTCGGCGGAGTTGATTATTCTTTGTGTCTAAAACATATCACCAGCTGCCCTTCTGAAGCCTGAGTGGTTGAATTTGGTTCAAAGGTGCATCCTTGTGCCAGGTAATGTGGAGTAGATCTGCACAAGAGGTAAAGGTACGCTCATCGAATGCGCGGTGGTGTCCACGAGTGATCTGGTCCAGCGGGGACGGAGGCCGACCGACTATGGCATTACTGTGGATCTCAAGCTTGTGGCAGTGGAAGCGAAGGGAAGAACGATGAGTCTACCCAAGGCGCACTGGCTGCCGAGATAATTCAATAAGAGCGTGGATCTAAGCAGCAAAAGTTCAAGAAGAAGATATCCTGTGCCAGCAGTCCTTCGGACACGAGACCCGAGGTTCCACGGCTGGGTAAAAAAGGAAAAAGATTGCTATGAAGGAACCACCTCCGATGAACTTCTTGGGCCCCCTGGGTGTCGGCGACCTCATTGCATCAGAAGATGAAGAAGGACATGGAGGCGAGGAGCCTTTGGGGCTGTTGAAGGAGCAAAAGGACACCAAGGTCACGGAGCACGAACTGGGCATCAAATGGGCGAAACACAGCCGCGACGCTACGTGGAATAGCATCAAGGTGGAATACGGCTCGAGGTGGAGCCAGCCACCCGCGTACGTCAGTAAATCCTTCGGCTTCCTGGCCACCAAGGAGAGCGCGTTGGAACTTGGGGCGCGGCTAGGTACGTGGGTCGCCAAAGTGGGAGAGAACGATTGCCAACTGTTGGATGGTGAAGGTGCTGGCAGCAAGGCTCACAAAGGAAGGGAAGTAGCGAGGGCTTCGGAGATTAACAAGGTTGCCCCCTCTCCTCCATGTACCCTTACCAGGGATCCTGGCGTGGACTGGCGGGTCACGATTGGGTTCTTGTTAGACGAGGTGGACAGGGCCAACACCACAAACTAATATAACAGGTGCTAGCAGCTAGTTGCGAGAGTCAGGGATGTTACGATGATGATGCTGACCTCGACTTTGGCGAATCTGGTGGGGAACGGTCAAATTCGCTGGTGCAGTGAATTCAATACGACGGGTTCAAAGGGCGATGTGAAGACAAGCTGTTATACGGAAGATTGCGTCAAGGCCCGCACAATGCAACAATGGAATGCGAGTAGCACTGTATGGCGTTGTCGGAATGCTGCGGTTCCAGGGCGGCTGTTCAGGATGATGTTAGCCAGCGCGGGCCCCAAGCAGTGTGCTTCTAGCAGTCTACTTGGTGATATACATGTGGAGCAACAGATTGCAGGTTCCGAAAACCTTAGACTCAAAAGTATTGCCATCTCTTGGGGTGCCAAATCTTACTGCCGCCAATTTCCGCCGTCATTTCCGCCAGGTTCCGCCCGCGTAACCGCCATCGTTTTACCTCCGCCGCATTCCGCCGCCCTTCCGCCAAGGAAGATATGGCAACCCCTTTGACGCCCGAGGGCGGGGCCATGTCTGGAACGCCTTATATGTGGTGCAATCCTCGATGTGCTATAGAACTATAGGTGCAGCCTACGGTCTGCAATATATATATATATATATTGTGCAGTCTAA